AATACGGACTCTGTGCTCGTTCTTTTCCTGATGGTGCGACGTGATCTTTGTAGATTAACTCTTAACCAGCTTCAGTGTCTGGCAAAAGTATTTTAAAAATAATGATTGAATCTAATTTTGGCAGGTCGCCGTGCGCACGCCACCACCCTGTGGAGCCTGTGTAAATTCTCTCATTCATTATAAAGGTTGCATATTTACTGCGGGGGTCGCCTCCGGTGTAAACTTGGGGTTAAGTTTTGTTTTAAATTGCAATCATTTGTAAACTCTCTTAGTCCCAAAATGACAACATAAACAAACTCAACAACATTTTAAAATGATAGTTTTTGTTTGTATTTGATCCAACATACAATTTAATGACCCACTGTTMGAAGTACTTACAGTACCTGTGGCTAACGCCAGCATCACACACTGAAAGACTCAGAAACAGCTTCTATTCAGCTGCAACACGTCAGGAAGAGTAAAACCTGACATGACTGCAAATAAACAGGGGTTTCATTCTACTTTACACACTGTAATCTCTATATCTAATAAATTCATGAATCACGCCTACAAATAACCTCTAACAACAGTGTGAGCAAGTAGAAAACGTTTTAATTTAAACATTGTTTTTAATCTCTCTGTTCAAGCGATCGTGGCTGTTAACATCATTAAACAAACTGTGCTACAATTACATGTTGGAGTAAAACATATCTTCCCCACGTTTTCGGTTCCTGTATTTGTCTGTCTGAACGCTGCAGTGAGGTGAACCCACATCCAGACGGAAGTTGAAGTTATGGAGGTGGATTTATTGGACAAACAGTCACTGTGGCTGTGATTCAATCCAAACAGTGATCGTGTTTCAAAGTGCAGCGGTGCTAAGGCTGTTTAGTATTTCCTCTGTCCAGGAGATATGGAGTGGAGGGCGTCAGTGCTGGGTCTGTCAGATCGGACATCCTCTGGAGTAATGTACAGTTTGATGAGATTAAAGTATAATTTGTGACCATAACTGACTAGTTACCTGTTCGATTCCTTTCATGCAGTTGGCAGTTTTGACTCTTTAAACTAAAGGGCTCCTTTTAACCAGGAGTGGAAACCAGTTTCTCATTTAGACAGTTCTTATTGGCTCAGTGGATAAGAAACAGGCTTTCTGTTGCCCTTTGGGCTAAATAGGCTTCTCCTGATTGCCCCACATTTCTGCAAATGTCACTGCACAGAGATAATGTCTTGTTGATGTCACCATCCTCCCACTTAACCTGCTCAAACATCACCCTGTGGACTTTTAATTACTTTTTTGGAAACAGGATTGAGTCTAATGAAAATATCTGACTCATTATTTGCACCTTAATCACTCCCCGGTCTGACACAATAAATGGTGCAATTCTTTTGCCTGAACARAATAATGTCCCACGATTTTAATGAAAATGAAAAGTGTCTGTACCGGAGGCTAATCTGTTTGAGGTAACGATTCAAAGACACTTCCTGTATGTTTATTGAGTTGATCTGTTATAAGATGATGAACAAAAGTCTTTTATTTTATTTTTAATTWTTTTCCCTGGTCTGGTTTCTTGAACTATATGTTGCAGAGYTTTTTATTTTATTTTGCCTCACTGCCTGATGTTTCGTATAAATAATCAAAATATTTCCAGGCCTTATGAAATGAATAATTCTTGTTTATGTGATTTATAATCACTGGCATATWGCATTGATTTATTAACCTGCTTTATTTTTGTTTTATTTACCAATGCAGATACCACAAATGAATAAATCAGCTTTTAAATGGGCTCATTAACATGTATGCAAATCTGCTAAACTGCTTTCTTGTTCAAAGGTTTAAATTCCAAAATAGTTTGTTTCTTTTATTTTTGTGCTGTTTTATTTGACCTTTTCGCTTRTTACTACTGTTTGGATTTTTGTGCTTTTTAACGTGTAATAGAAAATGTTTTCTTTAATATCTGTGTTACCATAAGTGATTAAAGCACCACCGATCAGTTTTATTTTTTTTTAGTATAGATGGTGGTTATTTAAAATATTAGCTTATTGACTTGTCTTATAAAGAGATGTCACTTGTAATAATGTGAAGCTTTCAGGTTTTTGAAATGTGTTTTGTGTTTCCTGACAGACGCCATGCTGCTGGTCGCAGACAGACTGGTGGGTCCTTCKAACATTGAAGCCGTTATTGAACCAATCGACGTTAAGATCTCTGAGGCCATCATGATCATGCAGGACAACAGCATGCAAGTCTCAGCAAAGGTACTGATCCCAAAAATAATCAGCTTTGACCTTCTGCTGGTGTAGATTCTCAGTCATCTGGGACGTGGAAAATTAAAAGAGATTAAAACGAACTTGACTTGAAATATATATATATATATATAAGTCAT